GTCCTCATGTCTGGACCTTACTTGGAAATGTATCAAAAGATGGACTGATAGATATAGATGAAGAGAATATGATAAAGCAAATATAACAAAATAATGACAAAAACGTGATAATCTTGGCTATGTAATTTTTTCAACTGTTCTATATATTTGACAATTTTCATAATAAAATGTTGAGGGGAAAAATATAACCGAAGGGCTTTAAATCCCAAATTCCTACCCTCCAACAAGACTCAACTCTAAAGTTCTAAAGGCAAAGACTGATTATCCTCAGTGGGACATTAGAAATAATGAATGAGGACGTTATTTCTCCAGCCAGATTTCATAATATCAAGTAATTTCTGACTGTTTTCTATATCCTCTGCAACACTGACAGAATATATAGGCAGTCCCCAGGTTACAAACAAGATATGTTCTGTAGGTTTGTTCTTTTATTACATTTATATGTAAGTTCCAACAGGTACATTTACCTTTTACCTGTAATAGCCCCTGTTTGTAAGTGTGAGTTGTATGTAAGTCACATGTTTGTAACTCAGGGACTGCTAGTATAGAAATACTATAATAATATTATTAATAATAAAAAATATACTATAATAGACTCTTCTCCCAGGAGCCTGAAAGAAGAGTAGAAGCAAGACTCAGTCTATTGACAACTAAAGAAAATGCAAAACCATCAAAGTTTATATAGTGGAGATAACATAAATGGTACTTATAATCAGGGAATAAATATATAACTATATTAGTTTTCATTAGGTTTATAGGCTTATATAGATCTTGAACTTCAAGAACAGATAGCTTTAGATAGGTAGAACATATTATCTAAAGAGGGAGAAATATATGCCACTTACAGATAATATTAAAAGAAATTTAACCTAAGGGGAGCTTGTTTTAGCAGGAAAAATAAGATAACACTACAAGGCATGACAAAGGACTTTTAAATCAAAGGAGTTTCTATTTCCTATAATAAAGTACACAGATTAACATAAAGTTTTCTCAGAGGTTTTATGAAGATAAAGCATTAAAATCCAGTGGGAGCCATCAACTGATGAATAGTTAAACAAGATGCGCTATAATGATGCAACAGAATAAAAAGGAATGAAGTGTTGATACATGCTACAAATGAATGAACCTTAAAAACATTATGCACAGTGAAAGAAGCCACATGTGATTCCATTTATACAAGCTGTCCAAATAGCCAAGTCCATAGAGATAGAAAGTAGATCAGTGGTTGTCAGGGGCTGAGAGAAGTGAGGAACGGGGAATAACTGTTAATGGATACGAAGTTTCTTTTGCAGTGATGCAAATGTTCTGAAATTAGAGAGTGGTAATATTTGTACAACTCTCTGAATATATTAAAAAAAACACTAACCTGGAGGGGGCGCCTGTGGCTCAGTGAGTAGGGCACCAGCCCTATATACCAAGGGTGGCAAGTTCAAACCTGGCCCAGCCAAACCACAACAAAAAAATAGCGGGGTGTTGTGGTGGGTGCCTGTAGTCCCAGCTACTTGGGAAGCTAAGGCAAGAGAATCACCTAAGCCCAGGAGCTGGAAGTTGCTGTGAGCTGTGTGATGCTGCCATGGCACTCTACCATAAAGTGAGACTCTGTCTCTAAAAAAAAAAAAAAAAATCCAAAAACCCCACTAACCTGTATACTTCAAAGGGATGAATCTTATGGTATGTGAATTATATCTCAATAATGCTGTAATTGTGGTAGTGCCTGTGGCTCAAGGAGTAGGGTGCCAGTCCCATATATCAAGGGTGGCAGGTTCAAGCCCAGCCCTGGCCAAAACTGCAGAAAAATAAAAAATAAAAATAAAAAATCATTAAAAAAATGCTGTAATTAAAAAAAATCTAATATGGACTATAAAGAAACAACAAAGTGAAGAAATCCCAACTCATAATTATAGTGATCTATATGCAGGGCCTGGTTAGGGTGTTACCCGTAGAAGGTAAAAGGCAAGAAAAATATAAGCTACTTCTCAAAAGAAAAAAATAACCTGCATTGAAAGAAAAAAGAATAAACTGATTGTGGTATTTGGTCTGAGGGATCAGAAATCCAGTGGATTCTAACAGATGAGGGTAGAAATGGGAAATGGGCAAGGTAGTAACATGTGCTGGTGGGGGGTGAAAGATAATGAATTTAGTTTTACATAGTATAAATCGTGTGAAATTTCAAGTGGAGGTCCTGTGAGACGAAAAGAAAAGTGACCAGGGTACTTATTTCTGAGATTTCTGGGTCTACTGCATAAAATAAGGAGCAACAACCACCAAAAGGGCAGGCACCCCTTTAGGGAGGTAATAGAGAAAATCTAGGAGCCTGGAGGGCAGATTCCTTAAGGTAGTTTCACTTGGGGTGTTGGTCTGTGTAGAAATACTACACAGTGTTGGTGGCGGGAGGAAGCAAGAAAAGCCAAAGAGCACTTAGCAAGCCAGGATAGTAGGAGAGATAATACAGGAACCATGGAGGGGCATGAGTCAACTGGCATAAATGTGGGATGGAAGGAAGATGTTGCTCCCGGGTGGGTGTTGTTCTAGGCGAGTGGTCAGGGAAAGTCCTACGAAGACAGGTTATAAAGGGAGGGAGAATCAAACTGTGGGCATTTCCTGTAAGTGTGGAGCATGTGACAGTGAACGCAGCAAGACAAAACAAGGAAGAGACATAGAGTTCAATTCACATCTGAAGGAGGAAAAAGGGGATCTCTAATTAATGAAGGGAGTTGGATGCCAGCAGAGGAGAAAAGAATCCAACAGGTAGGGTTATACTGGATAGGAGAGATGGTATTTCCAGGGTAGAGCAAAGGTTTCTTTTAGAAAGAAAAAAAGGGTCTCTTTGCCTCTAAACCTATTAACAGAGGAATACCCTTTTGAATAAGAGAGACATAAAGAGGTGTAACTGAGGAGATGGCTTCAGCTTCCTATGCAGGTCCCAGGGCTCCCAAGCCAGCTTCTGGAGGGAGCTTTCCTTTTCCTAAGGTGTGGCAATAACTGCATTCACTCCTATATGCCTAAGTCTCACTCATTTACCTGGACAGAAAGGCCTTTGGATTTCTCCCTCTGATATCCATGGCTCTTCTCCTTGCTCCAATTTGAAGATCACCTCTGGCTTGGAAACTTGATATCCTGCTCATGGGTAAATACACAAGATTTGGTTGTTTGTGCAAGTGGACAAAGAACCCTCCTAAGGACAAGTCAGTACTAGTCCTTGATCCTCAGGAACTCTGAAGGAAAAAAAAGGTGCAACTTAAGGAGTCATGCAATCAAATTGCCTATCTCCAGTTCTGTAAAATAAAGACCTTTAACATTAAGAGCAGGCTCAAAACCCTTAAAGCTGCGTCCCAAGGAGATTAATAAGCTCTGACCCCTGAACATCCTACTTGGTTACCTAAGCTACAAGCATTGCAAGACCCACCAACAGGCAAGACACTCAGAAAAGTGGACCTTACCAACAGAAACCAGGTGGCTGTAGTTCTCCAGCATCACATCCCTGTATAAGCTCCTCTGAGCAGTGTCAATGTGGTGCCATTCTTCCTGGGTGAAGTCCACAGACACATCTTTGAATGTCACTGATTCCTGTAGGATCACATTCCTGTTCAACTAGGGATCAACCCTATAAATGTTCCTATGGCGATACTGGGAACAAATCGTAGGATCTAACAGAAGCCGTGATCACACATTTGTTAGCCCAAGGGGGTACTATTGAGTTATAGACACTAGTTGTTCATATAATTTTTTTTTTTTTTTTTTGAGACAGAGTCTTACTTTGTCACCCTTGGTAGAGTGCCATGGCATCACAGTTCACAGCAACCTCAAACTCTTGAGCTCCAGTGATCCTCTTGCCTCAGTTTTTCATTCTTAGTAGAGACAGGGTCTCGTTCTTGCTCAAGGTGGTCTCAAACTCATGAGCTCAAGTGATCCACACACCTCACCTCCCAGATTGCTAGGATTACAGGCGTGAGCCATTGCACCTGGCCATATTTACATACTTTTTTAATGGATATAGTATGTTAGGCAGGGAAGTTATGAGAGATAGTCTGTTCTGCAAAGCTATATTCCCACTTAGTTATCTTCTGGGATTCCTTCAAAACCAAGCCATTTTATACAATCACCAATTCCTTTGGGTTTGTTCATTTCCTTTATTACAAAATCCAAATACATTAGGCAGTAAAAAGTGATGGCCCTCTCTACCACCATAACCAAGCCCACTTTATTCCCTAGAAATAATCTCTCAACAGTTTGCTATATACATTTAGGGCCCCTTGTCTAAGTTTGACACACACACACAAAGCAACCACACCTCCAAGAGAGAATCCTATTTTAGGAAATACCATAGGTATTGTTCTACGACTTACTTTTTACATTTACTTATATATCTTAGAGATTTTTCTATAATTATATATACATATATATAATTTCATCTTATTGCTTTGAACTATTTCATGGTAATCCATAGTAAAGTTGTATCATAAGGTACCTACCTACTGCGTAAAATTAACAGAACCCCACTGTATTGAGAATAAAACTCAAATTCCCCCATTGCTCACCGGGCTATAGAATGCTTATCTTGGTGTTTCTGACTACATCAAGCCTGTTCCCACCCTGGCTCTTTTTCTTGTTATCCACTAACCCAGGCGTCCTCAAATTACGGCCCGCGGGCCACATGCAGCCTGCCTAGGACATTTATCCGGCCTGCCAGGTGTTTTTACCACGGCTGCCTGTCCTGCTTAGCAGCTGACTCGTCCTGGGGCCCGCAGTCTGGCCCTCCAATGTTCTGAGGGACAGTGAACTGGCCCCCAGTTTAAAAAGTTTGAGGACCCCTGCCTAACCTCCTAGATGTCTTCATGGCTGACAACTAGATACTAGTTGCTTTGCTGTCATCTCAAGCATGACCTTCTTGAAAATGTTATCTTAGGACCTCCCTCTAATTTGCTCTCCATCACATTACCTTGTTTAATTTTCCTCCTAGCTCAGGTACCTTTTACTGCCCAAATTCTTGGCATGTAAACTCAAGAACAAAACAGATTAAGATAGGAAGGCCACTTGTATTTCCTTTTTTTTGGGGGGGGGGACAGAGCCTCAAGCTGTCACCCTGGGTAGAATGCTGTGACATCACAGATCACAGCAACCTCCAACTCCTGGGCTTAAGCAATTCTCTTGCTTCGGCCTCCCAAGTAGCTGGGACTACAAGCACTCACCACAACAGCTGGCTATTTTTTGGTTGTAGTTGTCACTGTTGTTTGGCAGGCCCAGCTGGATTCAAACCCACCAGCTCTGGTGTATGTGGCTGGTGCCTTGGCCACTTGAGCTACAGGCACCAAGCCAAGGCTACTTATACTTCTAACAATTTTCAGAGATTAGCTTGTTAGTTTACTGTTTGTCTCCCTACTGTAAACTCCATGAGAATGGGGACTTTACCTATCTTGATCATGGTTACATGCCCAGTGCCTAGAACACTGCCTGGCACATAGTAGATGCTTAAAATAAATACTTGGTGAATAAATAAATGGACCAGTCCCTATTAATATTTAGATTATTTTCAGCATTTTGCTATTATAAACATTACTGCAATAAATATTGTTTGTATGAATAGGCTAGGATTTCTCTAGGCTAGCTAGCTAGTTAGAATTGGAATGGCTAGGTCAGAGGTCTTTTCCTGCTTCTTGCCCTATTCTAATCACTTGTTCCTCCACCAGCCCATGGAAGGCTGAGGTGCCCCACTGCCTCCCAACTTTCAGTTCTGAGCTGGTGGGCTGATTGACTTGGCCTTGTAAGTCATGAGACACCTATGGACATGCCCTCCTTGAAATATCTCCTTTGGTCTTGGCTAGACTTCTATCCCAGAAAGCATATAATTAAGTATGGTGACAAAAATTAGTGCAAAAAGACATTGAAAACAGAGGTGAGGCTCGGTGCCTGTAGCTCAGCAGCTAGGGTGCCAGCCACATACACCAGAGCTGGTAGGTTTGAACCCAGTCCAGGGCTGCCAAACAACAATGACAACTACCAAAAAAATCACCGGGCATTGTTGCGGGCACCTGTAGTCCCAGCTCCTTGAGAGGCTAAAGCAAGAGAATCGCTTAAGCCCAAGAGTTTGAGGTTGCTGTGAGCTGTGACATCACAGCACTCTACCCAGGGCAACATAGTGAGACGATTAAAAAAAAGAAAGAAAGAAAACAGAGGTGAGTTAGCAGGAACAATTTCACAGAGGTTTACTTGGTGCCCTTTTTCTCCTGCTAGCTTAGGGACAGCTGAACTGGACTCATCAACTTCCTCAAGAGTATCATTCTCTGCCCTGCCCTCCACGGTCGTTCCTTTAGTAAACTCCACTGCATACTTAAGCTGCTGGATCGTCAGTGAAGTTTTCTGATTCCCCATCAAGGGTGAATCTCCGTCATGTGTATTAAACCTCTCCCCACACCCACCATTATTCAAATAAAACTAATAATCTATTTAATATTTGTTTTCCTAGACAGTAAGCATTACGAAGGCAGGGATGATATTTTTTTCACTCTAAAATACCCATTGCCCAGCAAATGCCTGACCCACAGTCTGTTTCCTGATTGAGTTAAACCTTAAAGAGATAGGTGAGATTTGAATTTCAGAGAAGACAGGAGTGGCCCCTTCTCCTAGGGAGTGAGGTATGACCACATCCATACATTGGCTTCCCTGTACCATATTCCTGCTCAGCACTGCGGCTGTGTTCCTGCAGGTGCCAAGCAGGATTGAAATGAGCCATTCTCCTGACCAAGGGCAGGGATCGGACTAACCAGATCAGACGACCGGCCTTACTATGTACACTGTGGCAGATTAAAGATGCAAAAGAAAAACACGGCAGTCCTTGAATAAATTTCAGTTTATTTTAAAAAGTGTTATTTATTAGCACACAACATGAAATAATAGACAGTAAGGTGAGGTGGCTGTGGGTACTCAGAGCAGGAAAGACTGGGAGAGAAAGGAAGACTTCAAGGCAGGCTATGCACTTGCTCTAAAAGGGTAAGTACCACTTGAAAAGGAGAAAAAAAAAAAAAAAAACGTGAGAATCCAATCCAGGAACTGAGAAGCTTCAGGAAGGAGGCTGGTCTTGGGCAAGGGATGACCAGCAAGGCAAAGGGGTTGGACCAGGCATTTGAAGTTAGAGGGTGAGAAGTAAAACCTTCTCGCCGTTGCCTGTTCTGCCTTCTAAACATACCAGCTCTTTGATTTAGTAATAGTCACTGACCAACTTGAATTCCTTTGCTTGACAGGGTCCCCATATTTCACACATGGTCCCCCTAGTCTTATTCTGCTTTCCCTAAAAGTCGCTCTAATGGTAACAATATGCCAACTAGCAAACACATGTCCTGCAAGACTCATCATTTCTTGCCTTCAGGAGACCATTTCACTGGCCTCTGTTCTTCGACTCTTAAATCCCAGCCACTCCTTTTCTGGGCCCTATCAGAATCACGTCTTTAAAACACAAATTTGACTACTCTTACAAATCCTCCATTTCTTTCCACTTCTCCCTATCCCTATCACCCTCATCTCTTACCTCCTAGCTTGTCTTTCCTGTTCCATTCTTGCCCTCTCCCAAGTCCATTTTCCTTATGAAAACCAGAGTGAACTTGTTAAAACCTGCCAGATTAAATCACTCCATTTCACAGCCTCCAATGGCAACCCCATCCATTCCAAGTGAACTCAACTTTTTTTTTTGTTGTTGCAGTTTTTGGCTGGGGCCAGCTTTGAACTCGCCACCTCTGGTATATGGGGCCGGCGCCCTACTCCTTGAGCCACAGGCACCGTCGGAACCCAAAGTCTTTACAGTGACCTACACAGCCCTTACTAATGCAGTGCCCCCTCGCTCCTTGGGTTTATCTCAAGCCTCCTGCCCCGCCCCCGGCTCTTCCTTGCACTCACCCTGCCTTCCTCCTGATTCCTAGAAGACACTAAGTGTGCAGCTGCCTTTGCTCCAGCTGATGCCTTGTCTTAGAAGCTTCTTCCTGCACATATGCCCACAGCCCCCCACTCACCTGCTTCAGCTCTTTGTTCAAATGTCACCTCATCATAGCAATCTCTCCTCACCACCCTATATAAAAGAGTGCCCCCTGTCCTGCACTGTCACTATTTTTTTTCCCTCACCACCTGACATAAAACAGTTTTATTTGTTTACAGTCTGTATCCTACAGCAGAATATAAACTCCAGGTGAGCAGAAATACTATTTATTTTCTTTACTTTTGAATCTCCATTGCCTAGAACAGGCCTATATGGGTGCCCATTAATATGTCTTCAGATTAAAAATTAGATTCCTTAGTGTGAACTTCATAGCCCTTCATGACCTAGTCCCCCTGACCCTTCATAATGTCAGCTGTGGCTTCTCCTCCCCTCATACACCAAAATCTGCCTCTGTAGAAGTTTTAGCTCTTTGCAACCAAAGCGTTCTCCTTTGCCTCTACGCTTGGTGCTTCAAATGCTCAGCTGGCTCAGGTTCACTCTTCATCAAAACTCAATCAAGCGCTCTCTTCTGGGACTCCATTCCTACCCCCAGGTTCACCTCCCAGTGGCTCCCCTCCCTGGGCCTTCCTCCAGCACAGCTCAT